GGGGGGGGGGGGAATAATTAGGCTGATCACACTTTTATGATGTGACTGGAGCCAAGAACGAATTTCACGAGTGTACTGACAGATCCTTTTGCCTGTCTTCTACCCACAACAGACAAAAGCATCCCTTTCACCAATATTTGAATGAAGATGGATTTATTCTAAGTACATGCACATACTACAGTATGATCTGATCTATTTGTGATGCTGGCAAAAAAAAACCCTAAAAGGGGTAATAGCTTTGTTAATAAATATTTTTAAGGACTATACTGGATTATATGGGACTGACAGTATAAAAGTGAGTCAATTTTTTATGGACCGCCTGCAATGCTTAGGTCCTGCTCTAAATTTAGATAGTTGCCAGGCAACATAATATATCAGATATATTCCAATATTCAAGTTTTGTGGATATAAATTAAATGCTCCGGTCACAGAATGAAAACAATACAATGTTGCAAGGAGTATAAATGCAGAAATGCTAAAAATCGATCATATTAATCCATTTGTAGGTGGCTCCTAGGCAGCATGATGATGTCCCAATGGCTGATATAGATAAGAACCTTCAGGAATCTAAGACGTACCTGTGTGCCAGGTTTAGCTGCTGAACTCCTTATTGTATAGGAGGAGTTAAAGGACTAATAGGCACACAGAGGCCTGCTGTATGAGAGTTACAGTGTTTAGGGAAATGACTACAGCTATGGCTTTTTCTTTTTGATTTTAACCACGACAGTCTCTATAGAAGTTTGCACACAAAAAACTTCCGACAGTTTCAAAGGAATCAGATGAGGATATTTCCATAGTTGTTCCTATTTATGTGTAGCATACAGCATGAAACAGCCTGCTTTAGAGGTGTTCACAGAATTGGAATTAACTCTGTGGCACAGTCGATGGAAATGCCTGCAGAGAGAGTGCGGAGAAAGCAGAAGTGACAACCAATAGGCAATATTCCTGTGTTATTACCTGCGTGTACCAAATGATCACCTGTGCTATTTGCTTATTGGCACAGTTTGATATTACACAATCTCCGCAAGTTAAAGAACACTGCAACTCGACTGGATCGGACATCTTCCTTCTCATGAGCACCTCTGCTGAGTAAGTTCTAGAAATGATCAGGGCTGCAGAGCATATGTGAAAACGACTCATGACTGACAAAAGAAAGTCTATTCAATATGCGAATCAACACTTGCTCGGTTTAAAATTCAACTGAAACACTTTAGACAATTGTAATCTTTTATAAACACCAGCCAAGTTATTTATCCAGCTGTCTCTCATGTTCAGTGTTTATTATCCTGGCTAACGTTACAGTATGCAAAATGCATAAGAAAACCCCAGCACATGTGGCGTGACCTCAACAAAGCAACAATTGTTTTGCTGACTGATTTCTAGTAAAAATCTACTTCAGGGGAATGTTTTTAATATTCACTACTGAAACAGAAATTGCTTGGTTTAAGTAATGGGTGGCACAGTCAGTTTTTTTTCTTGTTTTTCACCCACAGGGGTTTTGGCACATCACCTACATGTAAGGTGCCAAGAGAATGATAGAGTATCCCCTCCAGGCATGTTCAAAGACAAAAATGCTATGATTTGCATAATATTTTGGGCAGGAGATGTTTTTCTGCAAATAATAAAAATGAAAGTAGTTCTGTTACCTTGTTAGAAATTCTAAAACAAGGTCAGGCTTCAACTGGCAAAGACCTCAGTGGAATACTGAACCCAAGATCCAATTAATGTAGTCCAAAAACTAAATGTGAAAAGCTAGCAAAATGTAAACTTTCAAGTCAACAGGGACAAAACAGTCACATTTAACTTGTTTACTGGCTCACACCACAGTAAATATGCTCTGTACTGGGCAGAATAACGACGTGGCATACTCCACAACTCCATCAGCTACAACCAGTCATGTGATGCATGTCCATTTTTAGTTTGGTATGATCCAGTAAACAAGTGAAATATGATTATTTTGTCTTTAACAACTCTAAAAATATATTTTTTGCTCAGCCCTCGATTGCAAACATGAACATACATATTTTTTTTGGTTTAAGTTTTACACAAAAAGACTGCTGAAAGTGTTTCATGTGCTGCTGAAATGCTATTCACAATGTATTATGTGTGTTGTGCAACACAGGCTTCAGACTAGTAGTGATGTCACGAGTCCCGCTCACAGCTACATGTCTTTAAATCTGATTTTATGGTGAGCATGGATACATTTTCCACTTTCAGCAAGCTTTTACTGAAAAAGCACAAAGCTGTAAAGAAAAAGGGCAACTCGCAAAACTCAAAACTATAAAACGTCTGAACAAATAATCACCTCACTATAAGCAGGACAATATCTCTGTTCTGGTGTGTCTGATGTCAACACTTGATTTCAGGGTGAATGTTACTATGTAGCGGTCACAGAGTTATTGCCAAACACTAATCATACCAATGCAAATCTTATTTATGCTTTTAAAACAACAAAACCAAAAAAAAAAAAAAAACTATGCTTGTTTTGTTGCTGCTGTGAGGCACGTTGTAATGTGGATTTAAAAAAAAAAATTACTAAGTATTAATAAAGATTAATATTATTGTTGTTACTATTAGTACTATCTAAATGTACCTAAAAGGAAAACTGAGACATTACACAGCTAACTCATTAATTCAGCTACGATTATGATACGGCTTAGTTTACAGTGTAAATACACAGTGTGTGCATGCAGTGTGAATGCATGTACATTCCCCTCCATCAGTACATGCACAAATTGTTTGCATGCTTGTGGGCAAACACCCACAGACAGACAAAACATGTACGCTCACATTTGACTGCATGGAGCACTCTGTTGTCCAGGGGCTTGCGGCTCGGGTCATTGGTGGACGAGCGAATGCCTGTCCCGCAGCTGTTGGCCAGAGTGTTCCTGATACATCAAAAAAATAAGAAAGAGGTAGACAGAACAGAGGAAACACAAAAATAGTTGATTTATCCTTCATATGCCAGCAGATAAAAAACAAAAAAAAAAGGAAAACAAAAAAAACTTTAATTTCTATATTAAAACTACGCTTTGCATGAAACACTTGCATAAATAGACCCAGACAAATCGAGGGAAGAAGCAAACCTGTCAAAGAAGGCGGCCAGCAGCCTCCTCAGCAGCACCTTGTGTCTGGTCCCTGCACTCACATGACAGTTCATTAGCTGAGCTCGTGATATATACACAGAAGTACCTGCAAAGAATCCAGAAAGAATTGAGACCATTTATTATCACTGTAGATTATCTACTGAGATTATCTGCTATCTCGTTTTATGGCATTTCCCTTCTTCAACTTTTGTGGGTCAGGTACAGCAATGATACAGTCAGGATCTTCGCTTTCGGTTACTGGAATGGAGAGTTTATTTATCTAGCAACAGCTCTGATTCATATCACACTGCAGCTGTGGGTGGGGAGAGAGAAGCCTGTGCGCCAGTTAAATGTCACAGCTTTGAGGTTTGATTTGGTTTCATTACTTCAGTTTATTCCTTTGACTTTTACAAATGTAGTATAAAACTACCCTGAAACACTTGCTTCAGGTTGCTCTGTCACAGGCACATGCTGCTGCAGAGTGAAGTGTGTAACCCCACTGGTAAGGTAACACGCACAGTCACAGTATGTCCTTGACATAAACAAACTGAGTCACATGTGCAATACAGCCCTGCTTGCCATTGCAAATCTCAGTCATCTGAGGACAGCGTCCTCTGAAGATATGAATATATATCAGTGCTACCTGCCTTGTCCTATTTAGACCTCATACTACACTGCCTATATGTATTTAATAGTTCAGCTCTACCTTTAACCATAATGTCATTCATTTCCAGACTGCAGACTGAGGCAGATAAAACTATTCACCTAAAAACAACACTAAAATAAAATATTTATTTTTATTTTATGTTATATAAGATTTATCTGTCCTCTTCCCCTTATCTTTATCAGGGTGGTGGGTGTGCTGGAGCCTATCCCAGCTATCATGGGGTGAGAGGCAGGGTACACACTGGACAGGTTGCCAGCCTGCCGCAGGGCTAACACAGAAAGACAGATAACCATTCACACTCACATTCACACCCATGGGCAATTTCACAATTATCAGTTAAAATAGCCCCACTAACTGCATGTCTATGGACAGTGGGATGAAGCCTGAGTGCCTACGCAAAAGTGGGGAGAACATGCAAACTCCACACAGAGAGGCCCTGGCCAGATGTTGGAGTCAAACTCAGGACCTCCTTTTTGTGAGGCAACAGTACTAACAACAACACCACCCTGCTGCCCTTGTGATATCAGATAAATATATAAATAAGATAAGTTAGTTTGATAACATATTTCTGATATATGCAGTACTGTGCAAAACTCTTAACCAGCTGCTCATTTCTTTATCTTTAATTTTGCTTCCAAGGAGCCAGACTTGTAATTTTTTTTATCGTGGTCTAGAGCAATAGTTCTTCCGGCTTTCTGAAGAACTACTTTCCCTTGGACATCAGCTTCTTTGTTTATTCATTTTCAGTCCTTGTTGCTGACCATTTCCAGAGGAAGGATTTTTGTATGTTAAGTCACTTAACACTGACTTAACTAAAATTAAAACTAAAAAAAAAAGATACAGTATCGTATTGTGATATTTTGTGTGGCGATATCAGGGATACCAAATATCGATATAGTACGAAGAAGCAGGCTCGTGTCATCTGACAGGAAGCAACCTTTCTGCAAGTAGTCGCAGCCTGACTTGGACTGACAGCAATCTCCCTTAGACAGAATACTGAAGGTTTACAGAAACTTTTAATTTAGAAATGCAGACAGATTTCCAACATGTTGCAATCAGTCTGAATGAGCCTTTATGAAGAAGGATAACTCGTGGGGACTCGACTCAGCTGACTGCCAGCTGGCTGTATTCTGGTTATACTCATATAGAACAGGAAGGTTGCTGAATACAAATGTAATTGTTTTAATAATTCAGGGACAGTGTTGGTTTGCTTCACAATCTAATTTTGAAGCAAAAAATAAATAAATAACTGAAATGAGATAACTTTATCGTGTTGGATAATATCAGTACAAACAAATTTTAATTTTAGGGACATAATGTGCAGTTGGAAATCGTGATAAATCACAATATATTTCACCGCAACACTCAGCATGTCACAAAATGTTAAAAATTGCAATAATATCGTACCATGAGTGAAGCATTGTGATAATATCGTATTGTGGAGTATCTGGTGATTCCCACTTGTAGACTCAACACTGGGAGAAAAGGCTGAGGTACGCCAAATTACACAAGAACTGGACTGAAAATCAGTATCCACAGGTCTTATGGGGTAATGAACCCAATTTGGAATTCTTTGGTTCAAATTGTTGTCAGTGTGTATAGAGGAGGAGGACTGAGTATGCACAATGATATAGAGGAGGTCAGGAGAGAGATACAACACTGAGTGTCTGCAACCTATAAGCACTTCAGTCAGATGTGTTAGATATCTTGTTAAAACTGATTAAATATATGAACACAGAAATATATTGACAGATTTTGATCCATTATGCAAAACCATTTGGAAATCATCTAATTGGGAACAGCTCAATTTTTCAGCATGACAAGAATTCCTAAAACACTGCCAGCACAGTATAAGCAGGATTTGAAGCAGCTTGGCTATATTTACGAATGAGATAATGACCCAACGACAGTCTGGTATAAATGTATCTATGATTTCTGTAGTTTAGATCAAGGTAAAGACTTCATTTTTGATACACTTGTAGCAGAATCAAAGTATTTTTCTTTCTTTTTTTTTCTACAAACCACATGCTAAATATTTTGTTTTGACACTTATGGACAAACAACAAATTAAAGAAGAAAATCCAACAACAGTATCAGGCCACCACAACAGCTATGCTGCACTTTAGATTCTCAGTCTCTGGTACTTCACTAGAAAAAAGATTTTTCCTTTTTTGTTGTTGATGGTTGACGATGGTTGTAGAAGATGCTTGATTCTCATCAACCATCAACCAATTCAACTCGACTGAGAAGAGGTGATTTGAAAGCCAAACAGTGAACATCAGTTTTATATCCAAACTATTCAGTGACCCTTTGCGCTCTGCAGATGGGTGGAGGACACCACTCCCAACAGGAAATGTTTCATCATAAGAAAAAGGAGATTACACATGGCATTTTCTTTCTTATTCCTTGCTTGCCTCTAAAGATACAAGCAGACCTAAACCACAAAAGCAAAACATCCCCCCCAACAGCATCACAGAGCTGCTGGATTCCCTTTAGTGTAAAGGTCGAGGGTTTCAGTTTTTCTTTCATCCGTCACCCACCTGCAGGTTTCTCATGTTAAGTTTGACATTTTGGAGACAGCGAGCCAAGACAATTCTATGAAATTTGGATATTTTTGTCTCTCAAATCTAATCATTTTGAATTTCTTTCTTTTCTTTTTTTAAATTTAGTTGTAAATATTGCTGTCTTTAGGTACACACACACAGAGAAACATACCTGAGACTAACTCTAGTTTCTCAGCAGGATCTCCTTCCTCGTATAGTTTGGGATGACAGCGGTTGCCTATTTGGGCAATAAGTTCTGCAGGAAGACATGAAAGATCTCTGCCACGCATCCGACCTCGCGTCTCCGTGTTATCTGGTAGAGCCTCAACACGCTCACCAGCAGCTAGAAAATCCACATATGGAAAAATTTCGAATCAACTATAAAACTATATTTATGAGAATATTTTGTGCGGTTACAATGCCTCCACAAACCAAAAAAAGGATACAAATATGTAATCAAGGTGTAATGAAAAACTTCAGCTAGATATATTTGTATGTGTTGGTATAACTATTCTGTCCATTACCTGCAGCTCCCATGTTGAGCATACTGTACATTGTGTACATGTTGCAGATTTGTCTGTACTGCTCCTCAGCACTTTCATCTGTCCCCTCCTCTTCTTCTTCGTCATCATGGTAGCTGATAGGTGAGTCACTAGCATAGGTACTCAGGGTGCCAGGGCTGGCGCCCTCTGACATGATAAGCCCTGCTGCAGAATTCCCGTTGGTGCTGGCACCGCCACCAATCCCACCACCGGCCACCATTCCCACGAGGTTGGTCGTGGTGGCACCCATACCCACAGCCAGTCCGAGACCTCCGGGGCTGTGGATAGCGCTGCCCCGCACTGCCTCCTGGGAATAACGGGCTGCTTTCCTGGCACCTCCTCCTCCCCCTGAGCCTACCCCACCTCCATCTCGGGTGCTGCCACCCTCCCATAGTCGCTTGGCTACAGGAGTGCAAACCACTGAGTAAGGAGTGGCCGCCTCTGGTTGGCTCGCTGGCTGCTCCATCTTAACTCGTGATACCAGAGGGAGCGGCGTCAGACAGGAGGCGGGCCGGGCTGCACCGTTACTGGTCTGTGTTACAGGGCTCTGGGGCTCTGAAGGTGGGGCCTCCTCTCCATGAAGGCCCTGGGAGTCACAGCTGGGGGAGGATACCTACCAATAAATGCATATATCACCTTTGCGTCAGCAAATAGATAGATCTTACCTTGCAGAAAGTCTCAAAACAGAAATTTCAACCTGTATTTTACCAGTTCAAATTGATGAAACAATGACTTTAGGTTTTCTGCTACTTCACTTTCTATTTCTATTTAGCTTTACCTTGAGGAAGAATTCAGTGCCTTTCTCCATGATCTGTTGGATTTGCAAGAAGCCGGCAGTATACATGAGAAGAAACTGGTCCCCCACTGTCATGCTAAGACGGCCTGTGTAGCAGAAAGCCAAAATCTGCTGGAAGCTCTGAGGCTGCACGGCCGGCGGGAGCTCCACTACGGCTGGGCTGGCCTCACTGCTTCCGCCACCTCCACCATTGCTGTTGTTGCTGCTGCTGAAAAGATCCCGGAAATAAGAACTGCTAGCAGCCAGAACTGCTCGATGAGCCTAAGAAAAAAAGAAAAAGAAAACATAATTTAAAAATGATTTTACATATTACAATATACTGATTTATTAAGGGCTAGTGAGATGTTTTGGGGATTTTTTTTTTTCCGGTTTTGGTTTGTTTTAATAAAACCACCACCATTAACCGTTCTTTTTAGGTTTGGTTTTAAACTTCCCTTTTTAATAAAGTACATAGTTAGGGCTTGATTGGCTGACCCTCAATCCTCCCTTTGTTACACTGCAATAGGCATATGGCTGCACCTCCCTAAGCCTGGTTCTGATGGAGGTTTCTTCCTGCTAAAAGGGAGTTTTTTCTTCCCACTGTCGCCAACGCCCTTGCTCACAGGGGGTTATATGATAATTGGGGTTTTCTTTGTTTTCCTGTATTATTAACCCTTCTGACAGCTTTTGGTAAACTGCTTCTATACCAGGAGTGGGCAACTCCAGGCCTCGAGGGCCAGTGTCCTGCAGGTTTTAGATCTCACCCTGGGTCATTGCACCTGAATCAAATGATGAGTTCATTACCAGCCCTATGGAGAACTTCAGGACATGTTGAGGAGGTCATTTAGTCATTTGAAACAGCTGTGTTGGATCAAGGACACATCTAAAACCTGCAGGACACCAGCCCTTGAGGCCTGGAGTTGCCCACCCCTGTTCTACACCCAGCCAATGATTTATTAACATATTGATTTAGTAGCTCTTCAGTGTACTTTCATTTTTAAAATACTAATCGAGTTCTTTCAATGTCCCTGAAAAAGAAGGCCCTACTCAAAGTGAAAGATCTCAGAGAAGGTAAAAAAACAAAACGTTAGAGGCCAATATTTAACTGAGGAATGAATACAATGCACAAATTACATTGTCTCTAATGGACAGGATAACTCAAACTACTCAGCAAATGAAAGAAAACCTGTAACCCGTAAAAAACAATCTTTAAAACAAACATTAATAACATCTTATATATGGGGCTAGAAACTTGCACAAATGTGGATTCACACTGAATGATGCATCATCTGCCTCTGCTGCAAAAAGTTACATGTTGCAACATCCCCCCCACCCCAAAAAAAAAGAAAATGTCCAAACAGCAGTTCTTCTGAAGAATAATGACGTTCCTTTTCCATGGAGCACGACTGCCACAGGACTTTTTGTTTACACTCAGGTCTTTTCTTCTTCATTATAACCACGACCTTCAGTCAGTTGAGTGCAAATAAGAGAAACAGTGCACCAGTACCTTGAAAGCATGGCCCTTGACCACCACGGACACATCGCAGTAGAGTCCCTGCAGCCGCTGCTCATTCAGACACTCTAGAACGTTGTTGCCGAAGTTTGGGATCGCCATCTGGAGGGTCTGGGCCATGGTGCGCCTATGCACACCACCAAAAAGGTCTTGTTGGGATAGAATAGAGACAGGCAGAAACAAACAAAGAGGACAAATGAGGAAGTGAATAGATCCAAATGCTGGTTACTGAAAAACAGGATTGACTTCATATATGGAAATACTGAGCCAAATTCCCACTCCCCCAAACACGCTCTTTTTCTCCATGGAATTTTTTCCCATGATACAGAAGAGCACCCAACTCAAACTACATGTATAATCAGACCTTTTTCCATACAAAACAACTACAACTATTATCAAACCAACCCAAATAACGATGGTTGATATATTTCTTTTTGCACAGGATTTTTGTTTTAATTCAAGTAAATTCATTCTTCATATTCACAATCCAGTTCTTCATACATCTTAACTGAAAGCCTGTTCAATAAGGAGACCACACTAAACTAAACTTTCAGTGCTCTCCATGTTGGAACTTCTAATATGTAATAAGTAATTGGCAAACTCATGCTAAGAGAGTGGATGCCTCGGGTGCTGCCTCCTGCATGTTTCAGCTAGGCCACGTGTGAGAACGGGCAAAGATATAATCGCATGTGAAAACCGCCGTCATTTACCAAGTATGAGCTCCTTCCTGTTGGTCTTGTCGATATGTGGATAAACTTTGACCATGAGGCTGGTCAGAAAAGAGCAGGGCCGCCACTATACTTGCAACTGGTAACAGTTAGGAGACCTTTGACTGCACCACTACAAACAATATGTTGAAAGGCCGTCTCCAGATCTCGCTTTGATTTGCCAAAGAACTCGGAATGAGAATATTTATACGGCAACTGTGGAGTAGTTCTTCATGTGACATTTTGATACATAATAAACTTTCTTTGTGAATCACTTTTCAGTGGGTTACATCGCATTAATCATGATTGCTGTCGCATGTTTCAGCTTCATCTTGTTTCGTTGCAGTGATGACTCCCCCCCAGGCATTGTGGGGTGAAGGTGTAATGTAACACAGCTATGTTAAAAGACAGAAAGCTCAAAGAGAAGCTAAACAGCTGAGGAATGTCAGAACCTCACATTAACACAATGCAATAAAACGCCGAGCAAATCTAACTGGCCTGTTTTATTACTGTTAGGCCAAAGTATTCATAATGAAATGCCTGTCTGTTAAAGGAAGGTTCCCCACAATTAAAACAATATATTTCTTGAAAAACCCAAACGACATGGGCCGCATTTTCTCCTTCGCACAGTCTACCGAATAGTATTGGCAGGCTCGCAGCACTCTGATATTTCAAACTAAGTTTTGTTGAAACTTCCACAGGATAATCTACATTTCATTAATCCTATACGTCACTTTAACCTTTCAGTAGCTGTTGGTGCTGGGTACCAACAGCTACTGAAAGCCTTTTTATTTTCTGTGTCTTCTGTGAGCTATAAAATCCCATGTCCTCAGATAACTGGGTCATGTTCTGGTATTCTATGTGCAAACGTGTGTTTGTGTGTGTGGCCTAAACAAAAACCGCATAGCATGTTTCCATTCACTTCAGTCAACAGTCAGAGGCAAACATGCCCCCCCTTTGCCCCATATCCGCTCTAAGATTGATAGATTATGCCTGTCAATATTAAATTAAAATGAGCCAACGTTCCCTCTGCTGTGGCTATGAGGGCTATAAGCAGGGTATATTACATTACTCGCTTGATACTGTGAAGGTATGTAAACATGCTTCGATGGTGTTACACCAGCTATGCTTTGTGATAGCACGTTCTATAAACAGCAATTTCGGAGGTGCTATTCACATGCATGTATATACCCTCTGTACCCTCAAAAAGAGCAATGCAAACAACAGATCCATTGATCAGCCTACATGGCATTGCACTGCTCGTGCTTACTTAAAGCACAAGGCCCGTCATAAGTATTTCTATGCGCGCAGATGAGGGTACAGGCCTGCAATGCAGAGATATATTACCACTTAAAAGTGTTGCATGAATGCTTGCTGAACCTACATGCACCCACACATAGAGCGTTATCAGTGTAAGATACTATCTGATAATGTGAGAGCAAAGTGACTGAAGCCCACCCTGTGAGAGGCATAAAAAGCAAACTTTAGTGTGACTGACTGATGAGGGTTGAAGCGAGCCAGCCCATCATATCCAAAGCCTTTCATTTGGGACCTCGCCAAGCTCCAGGGTAAAGAGAAATGCTCTCTTTGTCTCCATCTCACTCAAGCTCCCCTCTCCCTCATACTAAAACACAGATGCGCACACACACAAACTCAAACAAACCCACAAAAGGCACACTGAGTCACACACAGACATTAGACAATACTGCTTGTTTACAGTTTGGCGAGCCACAGTAAGCACACATGGTTGCACATCAAGACACACAAACGCTGGGCCGAGAGCAGGGGTGTGTTTGCACAGTTTGCCCCAACAGTGAGCGAGAATGCAAGCGTGTGCACGCACATGTGTGTGTGGCCCTGTGCACTAAGGAGGGGCAGCGGGGGCCTGTAGGGATGAGAAGAATAATCTCAGGTCCTTAAATATATACAGTAGAGTGCAGCAGCAACAGCGTGAGCAAATGAAATTCACCCCAACTAACCCTGTAGCTTAGCTCTCATACCAGCCAGCCCTGGGAGGAAAGTAGGTCAGACATACAACATACTAAAGACCTTACACTTTTAATAGCAGCCTTTAGAATATTTCAAGGGGGGCTCAGTTGTGTTATGATGGACTGGTTCTCAGCCTATTTTGAAACTTATTCCACCAAACTCTTATGTTGGTTCAAACCTTTCAGATCATTATGTGGAAAAGCCCCTCATACAGCTGGCACACACAGTTCCCTCTATAGGCATTTCCTCATTATATGCGCCCATGCTTGCATAGCTGTGCTCCTGGCAGGCCTGACTTTTGCTTATCCTCACAGCAAGAAGGCTGATTGTTTTACAAACAGACTTTTTTAACTTCACATTTCTGATTTTTTTTTTTCCTTTAATGTGTGTGCCACTGTGCTGAAAGTGTTGCCAAATAACGTGTAGAAGGATAAGGAGTTGTTTAACCCACCTGGGGGTGTCCGATCCGTGCCTACCCAGCCGGGAGGCTACTGGGAGGTAGGGACAGCATGGATGCGTTAAGGGGGAATCCAGGATGGCGTGCGATTGTTTACGTGCCCTCAAATGGCAATCGGTTAGACGAATCTAAAGTAGTTTTACAGGAATCGGGCCACTTCGGGAGTCCCTATCCCCCCTCCATTCCCCCTCCTCCAAGTGGCTGTCAGCGCTGAAATATCTGATTGCCCTCTCCTTCCATCCGCAGCACGGCCTATGGGAGGTGGCTAACGGCTAAAGCTAACGCCACAGTTAAAATATTTTGGGTTCGCCCGGCGCACCATCCACCTCGCGCACACTCAGCCCCAGCTGCACAATGTCAAGCATTTCCGCACTCACAAAGGTAAACAAAGCACTTACTGGCCGAGCGGACGAGGTAGCCGTGCTGCGACGCCGGTTAGTCAGGCCCAAAATGTTGCTTATTTAAATATTTTGGCGACGGGGGAAATCGCTCCCCCTGCCATTCTCCATTCTACCGACATCAACAGGTCATCCCAGGACACGCAGCAGCTGAGGGCGAGCCAGACGGAACCAGTGCGGCACGGAGCAGGGGGGGGTGGTTGGTGGGGGGAGCACAACAAGGCACAATTCTTTTTGCAGCCGGCGCTCACAAGAGCTGCCGTGCCAAAAAAAAAAGCGAGAGACAGAAACAAACGGACTGCCGTTGAATTTTCTCATGTTTTGTGAGGCTCGTTAAGTTAAACGTGTTCTGCTCCGCTGCTGATAACGAGCTATATTTTTATTATAATTATTATTGTTAGGCTGAAAAGGGCAATAGAAAGTTTAGATTGTGCCAGCCTGGACCAGCTTTCCCCTTAAAGTCGCGCACTTATCCCAAACTTTAATTGCCCCACTGCTGCTGGTGCTTCTGCTGGACTGCCCCCCCCCCTCCTGCTCCATCAGCCTAAAAAATCTAACGGTGACCACCCACTCCTCCTTCTTCTCCTCCTCCACCGCCGCTGCCGCCGGTGGATCATCAGACGACCCTACCGACTGACTGACGGCCGAACAAGACACTCACCCCCTCGCTGGGAAGCTGATGCAGAGCGCTGGTTCGTTTTTCCTCGCTCCGGACAGCCATTCAGTGGGAGCGGAACGGCGATAGAAGAGCCATCGAGGGCGGTACAGTATCCCAGGGGATTGCGGAACGCAGAGCCACCGATCGCAGCGAACAGCAGAGGAGGAAGACAAGCATGACGCGCTCGTCATTCAATCGCATGATCGTTGAGAGCGCAGCCTCAATTTGGGGGAGACCTATCCCACGGCGTAGACTGTTTGCGCATTGGCACAGGCTGCGTGGAGGAATTAGTCTGAGTCTCTCTCTCTATCTTGCTCTCTCCCTCTCCGCAAATGAACTATGGAAGTAGGCCGTGTGTATGTGTATATGTTTCTCTCTCTGTGTGTGTACTTATTTAACTTAAGTGAACTCCGCGGGCGCATATAAAGTAGCGATAAAGCCGCACCCTTGTTGGCTGTAAACAAGTGAAACCTATGATACTTATACAGGCATATTTGCCCAATTGGCATATAGTTATAAACCGTGCAGTGGCGTTATTTATAGCACCCTATCTATAGAGTGCTCTGTTCTATGAATTCTTTCTTTTTTTCACCCTGTAAGCTGGAGGCACAGCGAAATCAAAATCCGAATGGACACAGAGTACACGCAGAAACGCAAACCTGTGTCATCACAGGTTTGTTAATAAACGCCATCAAAAGAGCACATTCCCCAAACGTGGACATCATCATAAGAACAAGAAAACCCTATGACTATATATACTTTGATAATATAATAATTCCATCTGGCACTTAAACCTCGCACTATTCTGTTCACGTGCTTTTGCCAAATGCATATTTCAATGTAGGTACCTAAAAGGATAGTATCCCACAATGTTAATGTTAATAATTTCACTCGACCCTGTCAGCAAAGATACAGAGAAAAGCAACATTAAGTAATTAAAGACTCTCGAATGGTATTCTGGGAATTATTTAACTCAAATGTCAGTAGCAGAGTTGGTTAAGTTACTTGAAAGAAGTAAATAGTTACTAATTATTGATTACTTCTCCAAAAACTAATCCAGTTACTTTACTCATTACTTATTTTCAAAAGCAATTAGTTACTTAGTTACTTTTAAAAAAACGTGAACCTGTATACGTAATAAAGACCTTTAGACCTTTCAGCCCAATTCTATTTTTTATGCATAATCCATCATATAAAATTGAATCAAATGGAAAGCCACTTTTTAAAAATTGTTTTATGAGTTTTAATCTTTTCATTTTATGCACAAAAATTAGCAAAAATTAATTAATATTCAATATTTTATGCCTTTTTATACGTGTTATATCAATTTTAACCTCCTAGGACCTTGCGTCCACATATGTGGACATCATTTTGGGTTATTTAGATCAAAATACTCAATTTTGCTCTACAAGTGCCTGCTATCCACTTACGAGGACGTTATACTGCTACTGTTCCATCTAAACTTTAAACGAATGTCCTCATATGTGGCTTTCATTTTTCTCAGAAACAAAAATGAGGTAAAAAAAAATATCTCGTAATTCTTTGTTTTTACATTCATCGGGCCCCAATATGCTCAAATATCAAAGAGAAATTAAAAATGCATGCCGTGGAAGAGTTCGAGTCTTAGGAGGTTAAACCTTTTGAAGACAAATGTAAGAAAGTTGCTGATGAATTTCAACTCAGTGCTTCTTCTGGTAATAATCTGATGTAGAGCATTAAGATTTGAACGTGAGTTTGTTTTACTTTGATTTGCATTGCATACTTTCAGCACATTCAGTCTGAAATAAAATAACAGGCAAGGCATGGGTTCAGCAGTGACTTCATCTGTGTTACTGAAGTTAACTGATTGCTGATTACCTGAGAAACAGGTAATCAGCAATCAGTGGAATTGACTGGAATTGGCCCCCTAATGTCAACCTTGGTAACTATTAAAACTGAGGAAAGTCTCTAATACACAAATCAACATTTTCACTGGTCTTCTGGTCTTGGCCCCTCAAGTTACCCAGGGGCCTCTGATCATGCCTCCTTTATATATATTTTTTCACTTCATTGAAGTTTCCTTCAATGAAAGGGAGTAGGACAAATGCAGAATCATTTCAGGAGTGTCACCCCAATACATTTCTCACCAATACATTTCCTCCTTATCATTGTAACCTTAATAGCATTGTAACTTTACAATAATGCACTTATTTATCCAAAAATGGGGAAATTATTGTATATATAATAATTTTTGTTATTTATCCATGGATAGATTTTCTTTCACTTATCCAATTCTGGGTCACGGATAGCTCGCACATATCCCAGCTGTCACAGGGTGAGAGGCAGGGTATACCCTGGACAGGCTGCCAATCTGGTTATTGTTATATTCATTATTACTACCAGTTATTTATTAATTTGTATTTTCTCTTTGATTATTTTCTTTCTTGATCTTCTTAAACACAGCCTCAGCTTTTGCTCTTATGCATTAAACATCTCAAAGAGTCACATCTTAATATCCAGCTGATCTAGTCTTTTTAGTAATATGTCTTGTTTCCGCAAATATTATCCTATTTGTGCTGTTTTTACAAATGTTCTTCTGTTTTTGAAAACAAAAATTAAGAAAAGAAATATAATAACTGAGATCATATCAAAGTGCAATGTGTCGTCAGTTTAGTTGGAATCTGTTTAGATCAACATAAAAAGAACTGTCTAAGGTTCGGAGGTAAAACTTTTTAAAAATGAAAAAAAAATCCACATTTTATTATTTTGATGAAAAATCATTTGCATCAACATGGGAACAAAGCAACATCTTTAGGTTTTTGAAGATGTTTTACCTATCATCTTCCGTGATAAGGTTTTCAAAAAAACAAGCAAACACAAAACTACCATTACCTAGATGACTGAGAACCTACAGAGACATTTTGCAGTCAACCATTCTCTGAAATCCTTGGCCCATATATACCTTTTGCTTTGCTAATACTGGGTTGCACACTATATTGCCAAAAGAAATAATTTGTCCATCCAAATCACTGAGGTTCAGGCATTCCATTCACTTCCAAGGCAAAACGCATATACAGTAAAATCAAGCACCTAGGCATGTTCATTGTTCCTACCACATTTTTGAAAGAATGGGTCACTCTCAGGTAGCTCAGAGAATTTAAGCATGGTACTGTGATATGATGGCATCTGTGCAACAAGTCCCACTGGTAAATTTTCTTGCTACTAAATATTCCGCAATCAGCTATTAGTGGTATTATAACAAAGTGGAAGTGACTGGGAATGACAGCAACTTAGGCACGAAGTAGTAGCCCATGTATAATCACAGAGTGGGCTCAGTAAATGTTGAGGTGCATAGTATGCAGAGGTTTCCAACTTTTGCAAAGTCAATCCCTGTAGACCTCCATACTTCATGTAGCCTTCAGAATAGCTCAAAAACAGTCAGTAGAGAGTTTCATGGAATGGGTTTCCAAGGACAAGCAGTTGCATCCAAGCCTTACATCACCAAGCTCAATGCCACTGGACTCCAGAAAAGTGCAAGTAAAGTTTGGTGGAGGGGTTGGTGGAGGGTTGTTTTGCAGGAGTTGGGCTTGGCCCCTTAGATCCAGTGAAATGAACTCTTAATGCTTCTGCATACCAAGACATTTTGGACAATTTCATGTTCCCAAATTTTTGTGAACAGTTTGAGGATTCCTGTTCTAACATGACTTTGCATTAGACATGACTTTGCACCAGTGCGCAAAGCAAGCTTCATATAGACAGAAATGAGTGAGTTTGGTGTGGAACTTCACTGGCAACCCAAAAGATCACCTTTGGAGTGAATTAGAGCAGAAACTCTGAGCAAGACCTTTACGTCCAACATCAGTGTCTGATGGTCAGAACGTCCCATAAACACACTCCTAAACCTTGTCAAAAGGCTTCCCAGAAAAGTTGAAGCTGTTAGAGCTGCAAAGCGTCATACATCATATTAAACCTTATGGATTAAGAATGGGATATCACTTCAGTTCAATTCATATGTGTAAGAAGGCAGATAAGCAAATACTTTGGGTAATATAATGTCTATCAGGTCTACCTGTGTACCTACCTGAGGACTCATGAGTGTGAAACAACATCTAAATGATGTTTTGATGCATGCTCAATCATCCAGGTAAATAAATCCCATTCTGATCCTGTTCATCTGGATGTAGCGTTTTCAATGGGAGAAACGTCTAAATGACAGACAGTTGTCCAAGAAACATTAAGAAAAGTGTCCAATAGCTAAAGAACAATTTTAATTTGGGCAATTTTAAAGGACTTCTCATCAAGTCCTTTCTCTAATTAACCTTGGAGTTAAATTAATAGTGAGGACTGGCAATTGTTTCCACAGTGTTCTAAAAGGTACAGTAGAAGTGCTACAGTAGAAATCAGTAAGTGTATTTATTAAAAATATTTATAGCTATTATTTTATTACCAGTGGCAACACCATGGTTGGTGTTGTTTTCACCTTGCATGACTGTGTTTGCATCATTGTAGAAAAATGTAGTCCTGGGGACCCCTATTGATGCTGAGACAACCGCAAAGTTGGTTTTGAGTACTTTTCAAAAGCTGCATGTCTGTCTTTCAGTGGACAGATTAGTCAGTGCACTCATGCTGCAACGATACAGTCATGAAACTTTGTAGGTGTGTAGCTGAGATCTGACCCAGATTTCAGCTATCTTGTCAATGTATGCCGATCTCTTTATGCAAAGACAATGTTCTTTAGCACTGCAAGCAACTAAAAAGTAGGTATTCACAAGTATGCAGCTCAATCTCACCGGTTATAAACAATCAATTTATGCTTACACCATGATGGTTCTGGTAGTCATGAAATGTACACATGCATCTGCCAAGAAGGTATATTGATATAGCACCGTTTTTGCTGTTGTTGTTGTTTAAAAAAATCAATAACAATTATTACTTTTTGATTTTGCTGTTATAAATGTATTAAATCACTGTCAAAAACAAATAAGAAAAACTAACGACATATAAACAATACT